AAATAGAGCAAAACGATCCAATTATCCAATGCTCACGAGACACGTCTCTCTCTCTCTCTCTCTGTCTCTCTGTCTCAAAAAGAAAAGGATTGCATTCCCAGTGGACTTATTTCCGCATCTTCGAACAGAGCCCGTACATCTTTCCAAGTCACGCTTATGGCACAGACTTGGAAAGATTTTTCTCACGTATCCCGTACACGATGAATCGTGGAACACATCGTCCCATCTCGTTTTACTTATGTGCATAATTAGAACATCCAATTAGACGGAGTGCGCACAGCGAACCCCTTTCGGGGTACGAGGGTATACGCTTTAACACTTTGCCGACCGGTGTAATTAGCGTTCTTACCAACGTTATCGGCGAGCGATCGAGCCGCGGTTTTTAACACTTTATGAATTTCATCTGCCTTCGCCGCGGTGGATTTAAAAAGGTTGAGAATGCCTGTTAAAGGATTCGAGCCGCCGTATAAAAATGTTGCCCCGAGGAAGCTGTTAAGAGATAATTATTTTCATGATTCTGCCGGGTAGAGTCGATAAAAATGGCTATTTGCACGCTAATTTCAGCGCCGGTGTTACGGTATCGTTCATAATCGTTTCACTATTGTTCCCCGATGAAAGAATCTCCGCTGTGTTTGTTTCTTCGATACACAGCGATACGAGTTTCATCGTGATTTTCTTCACAACTATTGTTAATTATAATTATAATTTCTCACAGGGTATTGTTAAGAAATACTCCTTCAGAAACTGGTATGGTTATCAGAAATTTTCATAGACAGTTTTAAAATAAACTCGAGTATAATGTTATAATCTACCTAGAAATTTCTCCTTATCTCTGCCAATATCGTATTCAATTTTCCAGCTTTTCGATGACGATTGCGTTTTTAACCCTTTGCGGTCCAAACAGTTCAGTTAGTCTCACAGGCAGTACCATGTAGTTTCCCTTTATTTCAATATTTCAGCGTTATATTAGTTATGAAATTAACTAAGTTTCGGTATAATATCGATGCATAAAAAAGTGGCTTGGCAAAAATTCTTACGTCGAGTCAGACTTAATGTTTTATTCCATTTTTCCATTAATTTCACTGCTACATCAAGGTCCGCAGAATTGCAATTTTTCCTGTCTATTTAATTTAACTATCACCGTTAATTCGTTTTCTCTGATATGTTGAAACCACGTAAATAGTAGATCTTTAAACTACACCAACATACACCAAAGCTTCTTCGCCGTGTACTCGATAAATATTTCAAATTTAACCTGCGCTATCGCCTTGAACTCGTAGTTAACAGGCACAACACCCAATAACATACATCAACTTTATCAAGGTCCGCGATCTGGCTACAATTCCTCGCACAAAATAACCAGAAAGTAGCCATTTCTCCGTTCGTTATTAATGCAGAACACCCGTACTTAGTTCTTTACGCGAAACCATTGCAAATTTCCAACGCAGAAGCAGTTACATTCTCAGCTGCCACCATTGAAACCAGAAAAGAATTGCTAATTTAACACAGTAGGCACACCTGAACTCCTAAATTCACCGACACTTTTCTCCGTTAACCCCGTGCGCGCACTTGTTCCCTACTTTTATCTTTTTTTTTTTTTTATTACCACCAGAGAAGAGAATGTTGCATACTTTGACCGTCCCCGTTGGCTGAAGCACCGCACTTTTTTCCCTCTTATTTGTACAAATTCAGCTCGCGGCGGCGGCGGCTGTTGCGTCGGGAGTCGTTGCGCCCATAAATTTTTAAAAAGAAAACACCGCGGAACGGCAGCGTGTAACACGCGCCTCGGGAATTATTGCACAGCTTGAAACGTGCTGCTGTTAATTTTTTCCCTCCTCCCGTATACATCCAATCCGTCTTTTCCCGCGCGGACGCCCGCGCCCTTCTTATTTTCTCCACCTTTTCTCTCTCCCCTCGTCGACGCTCCTGGCGGAATACGTATCCCGGTTGTTCTTATCCTCGGGACCAGCGTTCCGTTTATACACACCTTTATGCCTGCCCTCTGGCCCGATTTTATTTCTCGCGAGAGAGAGAGAGAGAGAACGACGTCGCATCCTCCGGTGAACAGAGTCTGCTCGATTTTTTCCATTTTGCTGCGGACTCCCTAATCGATCGAATGAAGCATAGCGTGTTTCGGGGAGGAGGTGGAATTTCTGGTAAGCCGCCTCTTTGAGCGGTGTGAAATTGTTTCGGGTAATCGGGGACCGGAGCAATTTTTTCGTCGAAAACTATTAGCTCGTACGTGTCCAGGCCTCCTCTCGTGGTACCCCTGAAATTGAATGGTTTTTGTTTGGTTTTTTGTTTTTTGGTAATCGGTGATTCGAGCATGTGCTGTGTTATTTTTCGATATAAAATACAATGTTGCGAGGTGATGGGGAGGGTGGATCTAGTTCTGTGATTTATCCGGGAGTGGTTTTGGAGAATTGATGGATTTGTGGAGATTAATTTTTAGCGTTCCGTATTCAGTTTTTTATTAGCGTGATATGAGTGAATGAAGATATCTGTATTATATTTAACGAAGATTGAGGTGAAGACAGTGATGTCTTCAAGATTCAGTTTACACGTATTTTAATTACTAAATCGATCGAAAATTTTGGTTGCAAGTGAACAATTCATTAGGTGGAAATATGCAAGAGTTCCTTTGGTTGGAAACATCAGTCATCGTGATTTATTAGGGGTGTGCAAAAGTTTTAGTCGATTTTTCAGCGTTCAAATACAATTATTTCGAATTCAGATAATTTCCTGCCCTTTTGTGTATTTGCAAGGTAAAAAGAAGAAAGGTAGAAACTTTCGTATTTCCCTAATACTATCGATAACTAATTTAAACAATTCACAATAGATACTCTTAAAATATCGTACATTTAGTTTTAGTATTTTTTCAGCGCTCAAATACAATTATTTCGAATTCAAATAATTTCCCGCCATTTTGTGTATTCGCAAGACTAAAATTTCTGCATAATCCTAATATTATCGATAAGTAATTTAAATGATTAATTCACAATATTCTTCAAATATCGTACATTTAGTTTTAGTATTTTTTCAGCGCTCAAATACAATTATTTCGAATTCAAATAATTTCCCGCCCTTTTGTGTATTTACAAGACCAAAATTTCTGCATAATCCTAATATTATCGGTAAGTAATTTAAACGATTCACAGTATTCTTCAAATGTCGCATATTTTCTCCTACATTTTTTAACGAACAACACCGTCTGCGTTTATACCTCTAGTTATTTACACTTTTCAAAGAAAATGAGCAATCGCGTGTCGGAGCGCGCGAATCCGTTCGTAAAATAAATATAGCGAAACGTAGGCGTGCCGGGGTTCGACAAGCTTTTGCAAAATTGCGGTGTAAACGTCAGCGAGCACGCCGTAATCCCCGTGGCCATACGCGAAATTTATAGCGGCACTTGAGAGGAAACGGTAGTCACGCGGAACGCGTTCTTAATGACCGTATGATAATGCCCCGGGGTCATTAATTTGAAATCGATAACAGAAAGATTTAGGGGTAAATATAATTACCCGCGCGGCGGCACGGCTGTTATACGTGTATATCTACAGTTAGCTTTTATAAGAAACCATAAATGTTTTGGGCTATTAATGAACAGGAAATTCGTAACAGAGATTTTTATCTGATCGCGTTTCGTACACGTTCATGTCGCTCTTAATGGCCTCGTTAAAAAGCTCCATTCACAGTGCCTTCGAGTCGCGTGTAATGCAAATGGATACGATTTATTTCACGACCAGCCAAAAAGCTCACCAAGAACGAAGTTTTAATAGTTTTCCTTCGCCTTATATTGTCTTTCTTTTTTTTTTCGCGTTACTTTAACGAGAAACGTAATTAAATCATTTCGAAGTTTAATGTTTAGGGAGAAAATAATTGTATTTTTGTAACGAGACTGGGTTTTTGAATTTTTAGCTTTTCATTCTTATAAATATACGATTTTGTGAATTAGGTAAAAGTTTGTTGTTTGCTTGTTTGTTGCAGGAGAATGCTGAGCCGCCACGAGTGCTGTTGAAGAGAGTGAGTGATAAATATTTCAGTCGAGTTACAATTTCATTCATTTCCAGGATTAATTCAATTATAATTGTACATTTGTTGTGTATAAAGTAGAAATATCCTTTGCTTTAAGTGTAGGAAGGAATTGTTTTATAATTAATAAGTTAAGTTATTGAAAACAGCTTAAACAATCTTAGACAGGAACTAAAAATCTAATTTATTAATTTTAAAATAGAAACCAGAGGGATTTCTACTTTCTATAAGATTTTACTCATTGCGAGCTTATTTCACTTATTTCTTTGTCATCAGAAGTGTATTTAACCCTAAGTTCTGAAATTGACCGCGCAACAGAAGTTATCAAGCTTCGAATTTCATTAAAAACGGTAACTAAAATTTACCGCGTACTGTTATAATTTCATAGTCATCGATCAAACCTAATTTCCGCATCGCTGTCAACACTTTTACTGTTTCTATTAAGAAAATACCAATTCTACCATCATCGTCGATAATATAAACGCCCGAGGAGCATGTTCCTCCTCGCTTATGTTCCACGTGGCCCCTACGGAACGTTGTCGAAAGACAGACCGATGTTTAGCAGATGATCGTTCCGACAGAGCGAAAAAGCGTGGCGTAAATTGGTCGCACTTTGACTGCATATAAAGTAGCCAACTTGTTCTCCTGCGTATCGCGCGACTATCCATTTAAGACATGTAAACGGCGAATTAACGCGCGTTAAAAGGATTTATACCACCATCAATTAGCTGCACGTTGAAAATGTGGGTTCATCGACGCCAGCAGCACACTTTGCAATCTCCCTGTCGTCTTTCTGACCGATCTTGTTTCTTTAAGTGGTCCTTTCGATTCGTGCAAGCTTTCCAATCGAAGAGAAAATGAAACAAAAGTGTGGGAAAAGGGAAAGAAATCGGCTAAACTTTATCTCATGCCTTTCAATGGTCATTTTGATTCGCGAAAATTTTCGTGTCGAAGGGAAAATTAAAAAAAGGTGTGACGTGGAAAGTGTGGGAAAATGGGAAAAGGGAAAGAAATCAGTAAAATTTGATCTTATTCCCTCCAGTGGCCATTTCGAATCAAAGGGAAAATAAAATAGTGTGACGTGGAAAGTCTGGGAAAAAAGTCAGTAAAATTTGATCTTATTCCTTTCAGTGGCCATTTCGATTCGCGATTGCTTTCGAATCGAAGGGAAAATAAAAAGGAGCGAGACGTGGAAAGTGTGGGAAAAAAGGAAAAGGAGGACGAGGGAAAGAAATCAGCTAAATACGACATGTTCGCGTTCGTAATTCAAGAACAGGTTTCACTTTTTGCTGGAAGGTCTTTCGGCTTGTGTGATCGGTGATGTTTATAACTGCATTGCTACGCTTACGGTATTTATAAGATTCCTCTGCGTGGATGCACGTCGAAGCTGGTATTATTAACACTTGATAGATGCGCGGTGATTAAATGTTTCATTTCATTCAGAATGTATCATACGTGGTTAAATCACGTCACGAAGGAAACCAACGACGGGCGGCACTCTGATAGATTATTGGTGACGTTCTCTCTTCTCTCTTCTTTTTCACATAATTACGGACAATTTGTAAGCAAATTGCGGAAAAATGCTTTTACACGGACATTACTCGATCCTTAATTATAGGAGTTAATTATCGTACACGTGATCAAGCGGCAACATGTGAATTTGGCCGGCGAGAAATTGATTTTAATGGGAGGGAAATTTGTGCATTAATGGCTGCAAATTTGTGAAACTGTAGCCGTTGTGCATACATCAAAATTATACATTATTTTCAGTAGGTAGGCTGTTTTACAGCTGCACTCCGCTTTCCAAGTGTTTCGTTTCCTCTGATAGCGTTCCATCTATGGAAAGTGCGCGTATGAAGTTTCACCCTTTGTTAACGACACGTGACTTGGAAAATGTATCAAGTTTGCATAGAATCTGAGAGGTTGTAACTTCGTGTGTCTTTTGAAAGTTTGTTCGTCGTGATTACTAGTTCAGCACAGTTTTCAAGATGGAAGAAAATAGAGCACACATTTTTAATATTTCTATTTTACCAGAGAGTGTCACTCAAACAGTAAATTAGAAGGCAATTTATTAGAAAAAAAATTGTTTGCCAATGATTTGCAAAATTTAGAGATGGAAATTTATGATACTCAAGAAAATCAATCTTGATTTTCCCATCTTAATGTACAATTTCAGTCAACCCTAATTTATTCGATCGTGAATGAAGAAAAATTGAATTACAGAGGGTTAAAACCGTGAAAAAAAGGTTCTCGACATTCAAATCTCTCCCATATTGTCGCACGTTTTTTTTTTTTTTTTTTGTATGAACTATGATTCTGTGTTCTTCACTTAACGTTACTACCAATTTTAAATCACTAATTCCTGGATCTTTAAAAATTTTTCTTCGTTTTCACATCGCTCCACAGTGTCCATCTTGACTCCCGCAGGATGCGTGAAATAATAAACAAGTCAATGCACACCCAGAATTAAAATTTTGCCCCGATTTCAACTAAAATTCTCCTAAAATGCTTCGACTCGCGGGAAGATTCGCGGCCCAGCGTTGCGCAACTAGACTAATTTCATTAGCACGCGTAATTGCTTCTTGACCCAATTTCACGGTCAATTATCGCGGCTCGTAAACACAGGATGCCAGATGAATGGGTTAATTCGGCGCAGAAACGGGCGTGTTCCCCCCGTGTCACGCTATTATCAGGTGCGTCGATCGCCGATCAAAAGGATTTACAGCGGCGAAACGAAGCGGTTTGGCAAACGCGGGAGTAAACTTCCGACATGTCGGGCAATTTCCTGCTGGCGAACGCGCGTCGCCGCGCGCTCTTTTGTCGCGAACGGACGACACGCGGAACCGCGTTGAAAAGCTCTCGAGGTCGCGAGTCGTCCACGCGTCCTCAATGACGCGTTCCAGCACTTTATGTAACGCGTGCTACGCGTCGAATCACGGGTGAATTGGGTCAAACAAGAGGAACACTACGGATTTTATGAGATTTAAGCTGAAAGGATGATTGGCTGTGCCTGGACGACGAGGCACGTGACTGGAATACAGAAACCGCAATTTTCAACGGTGTTTCCATTTTCTATGACAAGTCGACTGCGGTATTTTATGCAAATGAGGATTTTTGTGGATGTAATTGGAAAAATAGAAGGTTGATAGGCAATTGGCGTTATATTTTAGCTTGTAATGTGCATTCTGTGTATTTTTCTGTTCTGAAAACTCGGTAGTCTAGTGATAAGTCATACTCCAGTGCAGATTTGAAGGATAGAATAATTGTTATTTGAACAATTTCATCGATGAATTTATCTTGGTTTCATTCTTTCCTTTTTCTATTCATTTTCGTTTGAATGAGCATTATGTATCAGGTCCTTAAAAAAGCTCTGTCGAATTTCGTTGGCTGAATTCAAATACCCGTAACTCCTCCAGAAGTTAACATATTTATTCAAACTAACAGCCATTAGAATCGCTACAACTTTGCTCATTTATTTCACTAATTTATTTATGCAATCTACAAAAAAGCTACAAAGTCTAGAATTAACAAAGCTCAATCTTATTTAGCGTGCTCTTCCGTCTGATTGTACACTTAATATCTTTGGATAAAGAAAGACAATGATTGGTAGATAAATAATAAATTCTTCTAAAAAATAATCTGGTCACGAAAGGGTTAATTTCCTTTGAAAATTGAGACAAGTCGGTGACCTAACACCATTAAATCCCTTCTTTTAGATTTCTCCATATGTATTTACAGTGTTCGTATAATTAATTTAATGCATCATTTACCACATAAAGCTCGCGAAATACATTTCCCGCTTTTCCCAACGAAGTTCAAGGGATGATTCTGTTCTTCGTGCTTGCCTGTTACGCTAGAACGTGAGTCACTGATCAGACGTTTTCCAATGGGATGTACCAGACTCGTTTCCCTAGTCACAGATAAATATCTGTATCTGAAATCATTTCTAGCAAGATTATTTCCGCCGAATTATTTCCTACAAGGCAAAAAAAAATTTCAAGAACGATCTTCCATAGAAGAAGCAAATACGCCATTATATTCCTCGCAAAAGTTTCACACATTTAATAACACTAGTTTCCTACAACGTCGAATGGGAGTGCTTACGTCAACTGAAACACTCGGTCGAGCTTGCACCTAGGGGAAACCGGAGGAAACGAATCAATATCCGCCCGCGCAATTGTTCCACCGCTGTTTCATGCTTGCCTGCTACAGCGTCGCGATGCTTGCCGTCCGCAAGCTTCGAAAGCTCATCAGTTCGCCGAGATGCTTCTCTAGAAGCTCGCCGCGTCTCGTCATGAAATCCTAGTAGAATGGCAAAGGTGGAAAGCTCCCCTAACTTTCAGAACAGAGTGACACAGTGAGCGTACAGTGAGACGAAAATCGCGGTAGGATCGAAGGAAACGCGATTCTTCGTGAGAAAAAACTTCGATCGTCGGTGTTCATTTTCTTCGTTCGAGTATGTTCCTTCGTGAGAATTGGGTTCGGAAGCTTGGAGGAAATGTGGAGATTTGCGAGGAAATGTTTTTCCGATAAAGAAAAGGGAAGCTCTTTTGGTAGCTTGTAAAGTGTTGGAATTTTTACGTGTTTTAGAGTAAGAAGTTGCGATTCTACTTTTAATGCGATTGATAGAATCACTGCTGTCTTTATTCCTGCAATATTTTACGATAGTATTATTAAAAGAGAAAGCTTCTGAAGAGTATCAGGCTTTTCCCTCTTGTTTCTTCAAGTTTCAACTAATTAGACTGTCTTTATTCTCGCGATATTTTATTTTCTTCAAGTTCGGACTATTCCGACTGTCTTACCCTTGCAATATTTTAGAATATTATTAAAGGGAAAATTTTTTCAACGTGTATCAAGTTTTTCTTCAAGTTTTTTATTAAAGTTTAGACTACTAGTAGTATAATTTCTTTAACTTCCAGTTTCATGCGGTGATACTTCGCTTATGGTCGCTGTCTCCACTCTTGCATTCTAATAGAACATGTCTGACGATT